ACTCCTGGGTTCAAACCATTTACTATGAAACTTGTGAGTGCCAATTGCTTGTGAGTGCCCTTCTTTCTTAAGCAACCCTAGGACTACTAGGATGCGCCTACCTTTGGAAACCCCATCTTACAAATTTACCCTGGGTCCTTCCATTTCTCATAGCACAGTAGTGTTATATGTAAAAAAGAGAGGTCACATGATCCCCAACTCCCTCACAAAGGCCTATTTTGGGAACAATGCTAAAACAGAGCCAAATGGAGTGAGAGGCCGGAGTGTATAAAATTGGAAAAAGAAACGTTTGTAACTTACTTCTCACTGTGAAAGTTGTGCCTCTATTTAACAGGATGTACCAATTTTCTCTTGCAGGCATTTGGGACAGTGTGCCAAGTACCCATTACCTTGTCCAAACAAATGTGGTCGTTCAATTCCAAGGGAGAAAGTAAGGCGCTTTTTTTTTTCTTTTTTTTTTTTTTTCTTTTATCTATCGTTGTGGGACCTAAAAGATGACATTTAGATTTTAGCTGCCAATGTAGAACTGATATTTGCGAGAAGTCAGTGGAAACACATTCGTGGATAATTTAATGTATAAAAAGTGCTAACACTAGAATAGATTTCCTGTAATTAACAGTAGAATGTAACGACCTTTGGATGAAGGTTCGAGTCAGTTCTGTCAGTTTTCTCTTCAATCCAATAATAATTGGAATTTCGAGGAGGAAATCTAAGTCGGCTATTATTTTTTTTAAACTGCACCTCTACCAACGTAGACGGGTGCATAGCCTATTTCAATATAAGGTACCAAAAGCGAGGTTGCATCCTCTCCCTGCTCCGGTCCCTGGGCCCAGGAAGAGAGAAAAGCAATGCCCGACTACACATACTTCCTTCTTAGAATAAGTTCCGTGGTTGACCCGCTACACTGCTACACCCTGCTTCGGTTTAAACCTTCATGGAATCATTTCGAATTGTGAAGACTGGGAAAGATAAAGGACGGATTGCAAACGTCAATAGTCTCGTAAAATACTGCAAAATGTCACGTGAGATGACATGTTAGGCTAACTCGTCGGCTTGTTACGCGAATGAATAAAATTGCTGTCAAAAATTTCTTTATTTATCTGGTTTTTATTGTAGGTTTTAGCTCATCTTACATTATTATACTTTTTAGTTTTTAATTGTTTCATAGCTCACTTTTGTAATGCGCAGGTGATCATATATTTAACAATTATTCGCCGAAGGCGAGGTGAACAATAGTGAATATTCACCGAGACGAAGTCGAGGTGAATATTCACCAATGTTCACCGAGCCTGAGGCGAATGACTGTTTTAGTATAATTTTCAGAGGTGAAACACAGAATAACGACTAAAACAGACTGTTCGTTTGCATACACGCATGCAGCCGGAGTTTTAATAATAAGCTTANTGGGTTGAAATATAACGAATCTCAAGTACAGTACGGCGGTATTTATTGATCGGTCAGTGTAAAATGCAGATTGCAGACCAGGGGTAAAATGCAGACTTTTTAACTGAACCGTCAACTACCATTTCCATATTGAAAATAAAGCTAACCGTAAACAGGCTAAACAGAGCGTTGCTTAGGCTAACCTGAGTGATATTCAGGCTTACCAGAGTGCAGACTTTTACTGCCATCAGCCTGAATAACCCTGTTTACGGTCAGCACTCGATAATGGAAACAACACGATACTATACTTAAGTCAGTAGTCTGCAGCCGGAGTCTGCATTTACCCCAGGTCTTCAGTCTGCACTTTACCCTCAGTCTGCATTTTTCCCCCGGTCTGCAGTCTGCAGTCCGCCGTCTGCGTTTTACACTGACTGACATTTATTGATTGCATTTGTTAGAAATCAAGGGCGCGACTCTTTAGCTCATTCTTAAGTCATATAGTTCAAGACAATCAAATTAATTAGGTTAAAATTAGGGAAGACACCAACTATAGGAGATAATTGGGAAGATCGAGAAGACGTGGTAATTTTTATATACAAGTAAACTCAAGGGAAATGACTTTTTGTTCCAGATAATCTTTAGCGGGAATTTCGAGATAACGAGGTTCTTCTTAACACTGTTTTCTTTTCATTGATATGTTTCATTATAATCCATATTTTTGCTCGCGCGGGATTGGTTTAAACGCGTCACGTGACTTAATACGCCCCAGCTAAAACTGGCAAATATCCGAGTAATGTTCCCCAATTGCCGAGTTTCGTATACCAGGTTACTCTGGGTCGAGCATAGAACATGGTACGAAAGCAAGGCTTAAGCTGGGTAATATCCTTTCGCGGCATACGAATTAATGTACTTACTAACATTTTTACGTTGTTTGTAACTACGTACGGTTTTTTAAAACAATCTCAGTTAAAGAAATGGAACCTAAATTCGTCAGAATGAAAGTTCCTGATTTGTAAAAGTACTTACAACTGCGGGGAATCAGTGTTGCGAATAAGCGTCGCAAAGAACTTTTGGATTTGTCTGTAAAAGTCCACGAACTTGCCATCGAAATCATAGACGAGGAAGGAGACCAGATGGATATTTTTGTGAAGCTGGTAAACGACGATGGAACTATTCCTGATCCCTACTCGCTCAAGTCGGACTGGACGACTAATTTTTCGTCATTTTGTAATTACGTACGCTTATCTAATTATAAAAGAACGAGACTACCACGAAAGTTTTATTTGAAGGCTTACCAGTTTCATTCTCGACAAGAACCACAAATATTGCAATACCATCTACGTTTTATTCTACATTAAAATGGGATTACCTTATGGCATATGGCACAAATGAAGAATTTTTCATGCAAGAGGTTGTATTTGAAGAACAATTCTGAAAGCCAATACAGTACTTCAAAAAGTTACCAGTTTCTTTGAAGAGGTGATGGGCTGAAATTGTATTTCCCAAAGTTAAATATAGTTTACTCCGAGCAAACCTGTAGTGGTTTAAATACTTTTCTATGAGTATGACTATAAAAAGGCTTGTAAATAACTGTTTGGGTCAAGCTAGATTATTAATTAAAATAATAATATTTGGCCATAAAAAATTCCAGAAAAACTTTTCTTAAAAACAGTTAAGAAATTTTTAAAAACGGTTAAAGATACACGACGTTTCGACGTTCTCGGACGCCATTATCAAGTAAAAAAAAAAAAAAGAAACAGTATGAATATTCTATAAACACAAGAAAAACAAATGCCTTTTGGGGCCTGGCTTGTTTCGGTCTTTTTCTTGCTATTAATTAGAAATGGCTTACAATTAAGGTCATTCCCCAGTATTGCATTGCGCATCCCTATTGCGCATAATTTCACGCGTGATTAGCGCGCGCACATTAAAAAATGGCGGCTTTTTCTTTACAGCTGGACCTCGCCATAGAGGTAAATCGTCATTTTCTCGCGAACGAGTATGGTGATCTATCATTTTTTTCTGTTGTTTTGAGTTGAGTAATAAATCCTCTGTGTAAAGTAAATATGGACCAATTCTCAGTGTAGAACAGAAAGCAATCGTCGGAAACGTGAATTTAGCAAGCAATCGTCACTACTATCATGGTGCTATTATAAAGATTTATATGGGTATAAACAAGGTGCTGTTGCTCCTAAATGAACATGGGGACGCCTCATTTTTATTTCAAGATGTTTTGGGAATGCAAAAATTGAGGGAACATCATTCAATTTAGTCGGGCCAAGACCTCCTTCGAAATAAACGAACATATTCTTGTGTGCCTCGTAACATTTTAACTGTCCAGACGACAAGTCGAAATCCATCGCATACGCTGCTCTGACATTCCCGCAGCATAATACTTATCTGCGTTGTCTTAAGAGATTGGCAATAAATCTAACATTTGCAAGTTCCAGATCATCTTTGGGTGCTATTTGTGCAGTTAAAAGCACAACAGTGATGCTTCACCGTTTTCAAAGCTCTATTCGCTGCATTAGCCTCATTTTGGTGGGTTTTTACACAACTCGCTCCAATACGGGAATACGAAACTGAGCTATTGTCAAAGCTGCGCTTGTTGCGAAAACTATTTAAATGATAATTAACACAATATCTCCATTAGACGCGAAAATATGCTTGTAAATTTGTCCTTGGACATCTCCTGTTCCTCAAAGCAGTTCTCGGAAAACGTTAACTCTTCCCTTCTCGCAACCGATAATGTCTGCGTTCAAATATCTGAGTATATTTTTCTACCAAATGAAGGCTATTGTTCAATGCAGTTATCATGAAAGAAGGTAGCCTACATTGCCCTACGACAGAGCACGCCAAAGTCCAACTAATCCCCGATTGTTTACTTTGATAGTTGGGTAGATTAATGAGCGGTAAAAAAGAGTATTTACAGTGTTTTAGTTTGAAATAGTACGTACATGGCTGAACATCTTTTTTGAGGAAAGCAAAGTTCCATTGCATTAATTTCGTGCTACGCATGATCAGTTACAAACTATACATATATATCATGACTTGAAAGTACAAAGGGACGAGGTCGGGATTGCAAAAATTTCCAGTCAAAACACATGCAAGTTTACAGTATAGCACGCTCCTCAAGTTTCGAAACCTCACTTTTGGCTAACGTATGAAATCATAAACTTCCTGTCGAGATTAAATAATTACATGTTATCTTGTAGGTTCGACGACAAGAAATGGAATCGCATCTTGAATCCGACATGAAAATCCATCTTGACTTAGCTTGTGTCAAACTTGAAACACGGACGTTTATTTGGAAGATTGAACGCTTTAGTGAAGTTTTGAGGCAAGCGAAGGCCCAGGAAAAGCCAAGTATGGATAGTTCTCCATTTTACACGGACAGAGCAGAGAGTTCTGGCTACAAGTTAAAAGTACGTATCTTTCCGAATGGTAATGAAACTGGCGAGAATACTCACTTATCAGTGTTCATCGTTGTCACGAAAGGTGAATATCACGGCATGTTACCCTGGCCTTTCAAGAGGAAAGTGAGGTTTACATTGATTGATCAACAAGGAGATCTAGTCGAACGGCAAAACATTACCCGGTATTTCACGCCAAGGAAATACCCAGAATGCTGTGCAAGGCGTAAGAGTGAGGATAGCAATCAAGGGTTCGGTTTTGCGCAATTTGTTTCTCACGAGGCACTTCATTCAAGGCGCTATATTGTCGATGACACTTTGTTTCTTCAGGTTGACGTCGGCCCATCATCCAGTTAAGGTTCTCTTTTCATTTCTCTGATCAGTTTTCACGCTCGCCCTTTTCAGGAGGCTGAGAGAGACAAAGAACGTTATAATTCAAGGTTAATTCAGGAAAAGCCATGAGGCATTCCAAAGAATTGAAGCGTTTACAGCAACTTTAAATGGTTCAATCTACCTTAGGAATAACTTATACCCNCCCCCCCCACCCCAATTTAACTGTAACCAAATTCTCAAAAATTGCCTTTAGCCTCTTATCCTTTTGTAGAAACATGAGCAACTCCTGCGTCCGCAAACATTTTTTGTCAAAGACGGCAAATTAATAACTAATCCTAAATTAGTTTTATCAGATTTGTATGACTTCTATACTGAATTGTACTGTAACCGCGACTCATCCAACCATAACAATGCAAGCGATGCATTTCTTGACCACTGTCGTTCGCCAACTTTAAATGAGGATGCTAAGCGATTTTGCGAAGGGTACGTTCTCGCAAAGGCGGCGTGTTAAGGTGAACTCCCCAAAACAAGGTATTATTAAACTTATTGAGAAGAAAAACTAGGATGAACGATGTTTTGCGAATTCGAGACCTATTTCTCTGTTAAATGTGGATGTTAAGATCGCGTCCGAAGCAATAACATTAAGACTCGAGAAAGTTCTTTCAGATTTAATTAGTGCCGATCAGTGTGCGCATTTTAAAGGAAGGAACATCTTTGATGCAGTACGGACTATAGGTGATATTATGGACTACCCAAAGCTCTACAATCTTTCCGGTCTCATGGTAACCATTGACTTTGAGAAAGCGTTTGAAAGCGTCCTTAAGTTGGAACTTTCTTTTCAAGACCTTGGAAAAGAACACTCTTGGAGAATCCTTTATTAAGTGGGTACGTCTTTTATATACTAATATATCGAGCTGCATTATAAATAATGGAGTAGCAACTCCTCTTTTTTCAATCGTAAGAGGGGTTAGTCAGGGAGACCCTCTCTCGCCCTATCTATTTATTTTAGCTTTGGAAACCCTCCTTACTGCTATCAAACAGATTAAGAATCAAGATATAAAAGGTATACTAGTAGAGGACAAAAAAATCAAATGCATGGCCCTCGCGGATGACTTAACAAACTTTTTACGTGGTAAGGAATCTTACGACTCACTTAGTTCCGTATTGAATACATATGGCGAATGTTCAGGGCTTAAACTCAATAAGGACAAAAAAGAAGCCTACTGGTTAGGAAGTTCTTATAGAAATCATGAAGTTCTCGATATAAACAAGATGAACGAACCAATTAAAATACTGGGCATCTTTTTTACACACGCTTACGACCAGCATAAAAGTAAAGAGCTCAACTTCGATTTAACTTTTAAAGTCAGTAAGAAAGTCGTTAAGTTGCTGGCAATGGAGAAACTTAACACTAATTGGTAAAATTCAATTAGTCAAAACATTCGCTATGCCTAAGTTTATGTATCGAGCCTCCCTTATTTCCTTTGATAAGGATATAATTAAAAGCATAAATTCTGTGATATTCAATTTTGTGTGGAGAGGCAAAGACAAAATCAAGAGACTGGCCTTAATTGGTGAATATGAAGATGGTGGCCTCAAAATGCCTCAACCTGAATCTTTAATTGAAACTCAAAGAATTGCGTGTCTTAAAAGGTATTTAGATGATAGTGGTAGCCCGTGGAAATTTTTCTTATCTCAATATCTTAAGAACGTAGGAACTAGTTTTTTGTTTCAGTGCAACTGATCTCAATCAATTTTCTTTATAAAGAATGTCTTGAAGCTTGGTCTGACTTCATTGGCCATATAATAGGCACAAAACAGGACGTTTTAAATGCGATCATCTGGAACAACCAGAACCTCTTGATTAACAAACTATCAATATATAACAAGAAAACAAAAGAAGCAGGTTTTGTGCCCCGAAGGGGAACTCCCATGTATAAAAGACGGGAGTGCTCGTCGGAAATTTTGAAAACAACCCCTAATAAATACCAAGATCCTGATTTGTGGGCGTGTCTTGAAATTTTTTTTCTACCCTAAGAGCTACTAATTCTCACATAACTCATTTATTATATGGAGAAGAGTGTTTTACTGGGAACTAAACCACTCGTAGATTCCATACGCCACTTCAT